GTTGCCACTGGTTGTCAGTCAACTGTTGCAAAACTGCTCCAATTGCTGAATCAGATGCATCAACAGCAATACTCAAAGGAGCATTGGGGTCATGATGCATAAGCATGGTTGCGTTCGAAATGGCTTCCTTGACTTTAGAGAAAGCAAGTCTAGCCGCGTTGTCCAGAGACACGAACTTCGTAGTTCCTCGAAGTAGATCTGTTAGTGGTCTCATGACAGAGGCACAGTTAGGGATAAACCTTCGGTAATAACTTACCAGGCCATTGAAAGTGCGGAGATGTTTCACAGTGGTCGGCTCTGGATAGTTTGTGATAGCCGCCACTTTATCTCTCAATGGGCGTATACCTTTGTTGTCAATGGTATGCCCAAGGAAGCTGAGTGATTCAACTCCTATTTCACACTTCTGTAAGTTGACTGTGATGCCATGTTTTTTAAGTCTTTCGAATGCGAGGTCCAAATGTTTGAGGTGAGTTTCCTTATCTGGACTCGCAATTAGACAGTCATCGATGTAGACATGAACAAAATCAAACCACGGAAGACGTCATCCATAAAGCGTTGGAATGTTTGTGCTGCATTCCGAAGACCAAATGGCATGCGCAGGAATTCAAACAGGCCAAAAGGAGTAATAATGGCTGTTTTCGCGATATCTTCTGCTGCCATAGGTATCTGGTTGTACGCTTTGACCAAGTCGATTTTGGAGAAAATGTTCATTCCGCATAAGGTTGCAGTCAAATCGTAAACGTGAGGTATCGGGTAGCAGTCCGGAGTTGTTTTGGCGTTAAGCCTTCGGTAATCACCGGTTGGACGCCAGTCGTTGCTATCCTTTTTGGGAACCATGTGCAATGGCGATGCCCAAGGACTGTTTGACGGTCTGATAATGCCCAGTTCGAGCATGTGGTCGAATTCATTTTTCGCCGTTTGAGCTTATCGGGGTCTAGACGGCTCGCTTTGGATGCCACAGGTGGACCTGTGGTTGTGACGTGATGCATAACATTGCTGGTTATGCACGGAAGAGTGTGCTTCGGTTGTTGCAACTCTGGATATTTCTCCAAAACTGCTTGGTAGGACGCGTCGCCTGATTGTTTGGTTCTAACGATGGCTAAACTCGGACCTACATAGGTGGTGCCGCCAATAGATAACTTTGTGTTGTTATCTATCAGTCGTCGACGGCGAGCATCTACGAGTAGATCGTAATGGTTTAGCAAATCTATGCCAATGATGGGCATAGAGACGTCAGCCAGGAGGAAGATCCAGTGGATAGGTTTGCGTAAACCTAAGTTGAGGTAGGCACACCGTCTCCCGAATGTCGCGATTGCCTTGCCGTTGGCTGCTTGAAGATTGAAGGATGGGTCAAGATGACGCTCCTTTGTCGTTGCTGGAAGAACGCTAACTTCTGCGCCGGTGTCGACGAGGTAGCGGACTTTCGTTTTAATATCCGTGACGTAGAGCAAACGGCTTTTTCCGCCGGCTACGGTTGCCGTGAGCACGTGCCGGCGTGACCGTTTCCCGAGTTTGTGTCCTTCTTAAAACGGCATGGTTTACGACATTTTCTGGCTTCATCCCCGTAAGTGTTATGAAACCAGCACCATTCAGGGTTTTCCACCCTGTTGGGTTTCGTTTTAGGGCTACCACGCGACTTGCTGCGATGCGCCAAGGTGCGTTTCTGTGAAGTGCTACGTGATCTAGGACTTCGAGATCGTAGCAACCGTTTCACAGAGTTGCACAACTTGGTCACCTCGAATCCTGGCTCTCTGCTTTGTCGCAGATAGAATATACGTTGGAGACGGGTCTGCTGGAAATCTCCAGTATTTTATCTGCTGAGGCTGCCAGGTCGTCGAGTGGGACTGACTGGAGTGTCACCAACACGGTTTGCACCGGTTGTGGTAGTTTCGAGAGAAATAGTTCTCGGAAGAAACCATCGTCAAATGTTCGTGCACCGATTACTTCTCGCATGCGTGCGAGGACTTCAGTAGCTGAGTGGCTGCCTAGCTCGATGTTACGAAGCAATTCGTCTAGACGTTGGCGATCTGTGAGATCGCTTTTCTTCAAGAGTGCGGCCTTTAGAAGTGCATAAGGGTCACTTACTTCAGGATTAAACATGTTTGCTGTAACATACCTGTTTAATTCTCGCGGTAGTGAACGTATGACAGCAAGAAATCGAGAATGAGGATCTGAGACACCCTGTTCTCGAAAATCGGCCTCGGCATACAGAAACCATGTTTCTGCATTGTCTGGCCAATATGGCACGAGTTGGATCGTGTTCGTAGTCGGCTTAATACGAATAAGCTTGGGAGTGTGGTCGGACATGAGAAAGTGTAGTAAATGGATATATAAATGTTATCGAAATGAAAACAATAAACAAATATAAAATGGAACAGGCTCACCAATTCAATACTTGTTATTGGTCGGGATATGTGATCACGTCGGGCTCACCAATTTAGGATTTGTCCTGGTGCGAACTTGACAGACGCAAAGACCAATCACTAATTATTCGAACTTGTTATATACCCACGAATACGAGACCAAGGAAGAACACGATAGCGTAGTCGGATGGAATAGTATATTTGGATGGTTATGCCAAAATACCGATGCGTTCCAACTAACTGGCTAGAGAGTCGAATACGAGCAATGCAACGTAACACGACAGCGTGCCAAATGGCGAGGATGCTTGACCGGGTGCCTTCAGCTTAGCGAGCCCAGTTGAACTATCAAGGTCAGCATCAATGTCGAAAGTCGTCAAACCCTAAGCTATTGATTTTGAGGGGGTGTGTGATGCTACAGAACTATAGAAAGAACTAGAAACTGAGGGAGACGATGTTTCTCCACGGGGAGACTTAATCCAACTTGAAAACTGAGAATTTAATAGTGGGCTCGCGTTTAGTGTTGAAACATGCAAGGTGTTACACGTAGGACATTATGCATGTGGCCACAACGTCATGAAACTCGAAGCATCACTATCGGAATAAGATTTGGATTGCTTATTCCCTCGGGACCTAATATTCCATGCCAACTTTAATGGAAACGAATTTTGTGGAAACCTAGTGCTAGTTGCCCTCAGAAGAATTTCCGGATAGTTCGATCGTAGATGTCTTCCCCGAGTTTTAGACAGCTTCATACAGCCTCATCTGGAGTTCGAAACCATCGTCTTTTCCCTTTCTCTGCAGAAGAATAAGCTGAGCTCGACCAAATCTGTTTGAGGACTTAGGTCCAAAACTTATGAAGAACGGCTGGTTGCGCTTGATCTATTTCCCACAGAATATGGAAGAACTCAAGGGGAGTTGATAATAGCTCACAGCATTTTGAGCGTCAACGGACACCCACTTCTCCGCTTACTGAATTTCAGTTGTAGCGTCAACCTTAAAACATATAATCAGAAAGTAAGCCTAGAGCATAGCAGGTTAGATATAAGACACAAATTCTATCCCCTAAGATTTCTTCTACTCCGAAACACCCATCCAGTAGAAGCGATCCAGACTACTTCCTCTGAATACTTCAGATGCCTGGTAGATACTTACTTAAGATGTGGATGGGATTTACTTGGAACTGACTGCATTTTCAATTTTTAACCTCCACCGTTTGCTCTCTCTTCAGCTGTGCACAGGTTAAAAACAACAACAGAAAGTGATCCATGGGTTTTGGAAGCGGAAGTCAGTTACGCAAAAACTCCTGTTGTCTTGGCAACCATTCGGATTATTAGAACTATTTGGAAACTACAAGGTCAAGTGGCTCATTTGAAATGTCTTCACATGATATAGATAATCGCTGTTGCTATCTGAGACATGGTAGTTATCAGTCTTCTTCACTGTTTTGCGAACCTAACCGTTCGTCCAAATACTTATTGCAGGCCGCTAATGCCGGGTCATTCTATCTTTGCTGTTAATCGTTGGATTGTGCCGAAAGCATATGTTTCCTGAGGTATCAACCGGTTCAGTTATAAAGAAAGTGCGGTGGTCGGTCTAATCGATTCTTGGTGATAATGGTGGCTTAATGTTCTCGAAGCTCTGATATTTTGCCTTGAACGTCTTATCACCTGGTTTTCTGAGATTTTTCAGCACTAGCTTCACAAAGATCTTTATGAAGTTAGTGCTGAAAATGTCAAGCTTGAGCTATAAATCCTTTCCATCATTCCGAAATTCTTGATGGTTTTGGCTCTGTGACCATCCAACTTCTTTTTGAAATATTTCGCCCAAGGATTTACTGTAGCTTCTGCTGGCAGATTCGTCCTTGATCACTATTTGGAGAGAATGTTTGTGGATTTTGTAGGATCGAGTATATGCATCCCACTTTGTAGTGATACGGCCATGATATATAAACACATTAACGATCACATATATTTATGCCACAATCCTCAACATTGGAAGTGCTACATTTTAAAAATGGGGATTCCTGCCATCAAATGAATAGTCTAGTTGAAAAGATAGGGACTAGGGACCTAAAACTGACGACTTAATCTTAATCAGCAGATCTCACCAATTTATTATGTAAGGTCAAAATAATCCTCGTATGCATCGGTTTACTGAGATACATATTGATCCATATACACTGCAGTCTCCAATTCCCGATTTCAGATGTCTACATTCCCCTATACAGCTCAATGCAACAGTAGGAGACAGTGCATGAACACCATGTTATATTATGTATTATTTGAAACTTCATGAAATGACAAACCTCTTTTATCTAAACTATCCTAACTTCTACGTTAATGACACGTAGTATCGCTACACATGGCCTATGCTACAAATGCCACGGCGATCAAGCATTTGAAGCCTTCCCATCCCCACCTTTGATAGCCATTCTACGCAGCCATATGGTAGAATGGAGCGAAATGTAGTAATTGGTTATCACGGTAGCATACATAGATGAAGTTGGTAAAAGCCAGTCGATCCTTCTGTATTTGTCAGTCACCGACCCGTTAGGATTGATCAGGCTTCCTAGGTAAGTGGTGCTCAGTGGTCGACAACTATTCTGAATTGCTAGATGAGGCGCTAACGCACAGCAGATCTGAAACAACAGTTCACGTTTGGGTGGTGAGGAACGTACCCACATATTCTCAAATTGACACAAGATATCCAGTAGACATTTTGTCAACGTCTTCACATGCTACGACTGTCACCTGGGTGTGTATGTGTGTTTGCGTGCACCAAAGAGTTTTTTTTGTAAGATCAATTACTGTAAAGTCAGACAAAGAAAGGGGAACCTCCATAGTATGTTTATGATAACGCTAAATAAAATTAAAGACAGTGAACATCATTGACATGGCACTTGAGTACCCAGTCCATCTGATAATACCACAGACTAACAAGCCCGCGGATGGTCGAGTACGGGATCTTCAACTGAGAAATGTACTTACACGGCATTCGTCTCAGTGAGAGACACTTCCATAAGACCTGGTCGACGAAGTAAAAAATACAACTAGTGTTGGGTAAATGTTGTTGTGTTTGATAAACTTCAGCAGGTATGGGATTGTTACACCTACGTCCAGGTCTAAAGTCGGTTTGCTGTTCACGAGCTCAAATTAACCCTCGGGAATATGGACCTAAGGACCTTGGACACGATACTGGTCAAACTGATTCCCCCGTGGTTGTCACAATAATTTCTCTTCCTTATAGACTCAAGTGATCAATGAGGTAGACTAGTTTGATGACACTAACTGATTCTCATACGCTACCTAGTACTTCCGTTACTCTACTCAGTAACTTCCTGCCTCCATACTTAAAAACTTTGGGTAGCAAACAGTCAGGTCCAGCGGCTTTACTCCTCAACTTCGAGGAGATTTGGAGGACCGATATCTACGTCACATTCATGTTCAGGCTGAATGCTGGGCAACTTAAGATTGCTGTGGGCCATTTGAACTGCACTTCATAGTGTTCTTCCCAACGTTCTGGCCGTCTGTCCTAATAGGTTATCAGCGTCTCATCCTTTTCGGTGACGGTTCCACTATCCATCGTCTTTTTCTTGTCTGTATCCTTAATAAGCCTAAACAGTTGCCTGGTATTATCTAGTGGTGGTGCCTTTTTTTCACTTTCACCCAAAACTGCTCGCCATCATCGCGAAGGCTCTTCGTCAGTTACGTCTCAGTTGCTTTCTCTCTTCATTATGATCAGAGTTAGCTGGAATCAGTTTTTTTTCTCGTCAATCAGTCCGGATGACGTTGCGGAAATCCAATAATGTTTGCTAATCTTTGGATGTGGTTACCAACTGTCTTTACCGCCTAGGTAGGTTCAGGCTGGAAAAAAGCTTGAAATCCCCAGTCTAAAACGTGGCAACAATTCATGAAGTCCTTGACTGCTCGTTTGAGCCATGTAAGGCGTCGCAGACTAGCCGGTTGGTTTCGCGGAACACGAGAAACCAGTTGTTGAAGGCTGTAGGTGATACGCCTCAGATCCGATTTAAGTGGCGCAAACGTATACACACATTATCATCATGTTAACCGCTCTACTCAATCTCATTATATTTTTATTCCTCTTTCCTCTCTTTTACTACTTTTTTTTGACTGATTTTTCTTTTCGACTTCATCTTCCATTTTATTGCCTCCTTATTTGTGCTGATGTGAGATGTAGCAACTTGGACCGTTACGCACTAATGCCTGGTCCTATGTTGATCTTGATGATAATTTCTTTACCTCTGTTTCTACAGCAGACTTATTATCACCCCAGGCTTCCTCAGGATGGACTACTCAAGTTGAGATAAGTGCACAGCCTTCTCCTTAAATACGCTCCTGACATTTTAATCTTTCAATCAACACACACATCACTACCGCCTGTATCCTGAAACCAGTTAGGCGTAGATTTACACGTTCCCGTACTAACGCTTGGTCGGAGTCCAGACTTGTACTGCAGAAATAAAGGCAGTCCATCGATCCTCTCCAACAATGTCTGATAGCGTTATGATCTATCTCTGTCCATCGTTGGTTTGGTGCTGCCTCATGACATGAGAGATACTGTATTTCCTTATGCTCAGTTAGTACTGGCTAAAAATAAGTTATTATCGGAACAAAATCATGAGATACATTGGCCGTTGTCAGTTTGTTGGCACAGGATTCCATAAATACCAGCCAAATGCCTTTCCGACCGACTCAACTTTTCTGATTGACTATTAAAGTAGTTATCTTCTTGTATGACTAAACGTTTTACTTTCTGTAGCGAAATCGACAGCCTTTGGCAGAATTAATCCATTGTACCATCCGAATCGCAGTCGGTGAGTGCGTAGACGGAGATTACGAATAGGCATTGGGTAGTCTCGCGATGCTTATTAGTTCTTACAGATCAGTTCAGTCAAACAGCACACTGGCGGTTGTTAACTGTTATTCAGTTGAAGAGTGCGCTTTCTGCTCGAGAATGTAATGCAATGCTTACACCAGCGAGTTCGCGAGAACTAACTGCTGAATCTCCAGACACATCAGTCGGATTTTGCAGCTTCACTACGTAAGCTAGGTGAGGTCAATTTAATAACCACACTTGTGTACTGTGTGCGTGCCTGAGAAACGCAGCACATATCTGACTCAGGATTCCAGATTGTTAGCAAGTGAGGCTTGTTCTATTTGGCATAGGTTGCATACGTTGAAAGCTGTGAAACTGGCAACGTCATTTTAGGAGACTGGGAATGTTGTTTCGGTGGCATGGATCATCTGCCCTGGTTTCAGGTTTAGAGGTTTAAGAAGTTGAGTCGGTCTAATATTGGTATATGCCTTGGAAGACAAGGGGTGAAACAAGATTAAGGGGGGGGGTAGGTTATAGTTGATTGGGTTTTGTAATCGTCTGAAAGCTTACAGTCGGTCGGTTCCTCCCAGCTATGTACGCTGTCGAAGTTACCTGAAAGGCAAAAGGTATTGGTTTTGTGTAGTCGTGGTGCCTACGAGGCATGTGCTTGAATCCTATTGCAGATAACCTTTTCACGTTATCTTTGAAATTTGACAGGTCCACCTTCCAACAAGAAAAACCTACACTCCCGGCATCTGAATACCGCAAAGCTGAGAGAGTTGCTGTTTCTAGAAGCATGGTAAGAGTAACTTTGACATGTTACTGTTAGTCATGCGTGACAAACAGCTTTCATTGTTATAGGCAAGCCTGATCACCACTAGCTTTCGTATGTGTTTACGCTGCGCGGGTTCAGAAGTCTCTAAGCTTCTCCGGAATAATTTTAATGACTGTCATCTGCACGCCGTGCTCAGACCACTTGGATCTTGCTGAGTTGTTTCTAACTACTCATTTTGTCCAATAGTATTTATTCTTTACATATCCTACACTTCCGCATACTAATCAGGCTGATATTCAGTGACTAAATTAAGGATCGTGGTGGCTCTCTCTGGTTCTCATTCCTCAGTTAGTATCTCATTCTATATTGTGATGCATGACCATTATTTTTAAAATCTTGTAGAAAATAGCCGTTTCAAATGATGACTATGTTGTTAGTCCTTTTAAATTTGATATCACTCCGCTTGAGGAATTTCTTTTACTTATTAATGAGAATACAATAGATGCAAATGCGTCTGACAAAAGTTGTAAACGACGGTCCATTGATTCAATCAATTGACTGAAAGTCAAGTTGTTACGTCTAATTCAGCTAGTCAGTATCGATATGAGATCTATCACTACTGCTTAACTGTCGAAGTTGCCACACCACTTCAACGCACCAAAACACAAATCGAGATGACAAGACGAAGAAGTCGAAATACCGTCAAAGATCGTAGCAAGTCGTATATAGAGAAAAGTGTGGTGGAGGAAAGCAAATAACAAAATGTAATGCGATTATAAAGATGTAAATAAGGTATGGCTACATGTGCCACTAATTGGTTTTGGGCCATAATACATAGTCTCCAGCTTTATTTAGTAATCATTACAGTTATAATGGTCCACATTTTGGAGCCTAGATTTGGTTTGATGAAGTGTGTTGATGCTAAAAGTACTAATTGTATCATCTTCTGAATGCTCTGCTTAGAAGCTCCGAATAAAATCAAAAATATATTTGAAACATATTTCGTTATTTTCTAGTTTTAAAATCTGACCTGTCCGCTTTCTTTATTTCGTTTACGATTATTCTGGCGTGTTCATACTATAGTAAATGGTGTGCCAAAACAACTTGGCATATGCGCTAACTGAGCTACATACTTAATCATCGTGTAGTAAGATATTGCACCTTTTATTGTAGGATGTTTTTTAACAGAATTCTTGTGAACATTTTTCAGAATTTTGGGACCTATCTGGTTCATCCTCTGATATAGTAGTGAGCCAATATAGTAGATCGATCTTGTTTATAGCCTTGGTCTACGGTTTCCTGAACCTGTAAACGACTTTTCGGAAACGCCCAAATATTTCATATATATATACATATTTACGGGGTTTCTAATTATTTTCCCTCTCATCTGTCGAGAGTATTATTTAATTAGTTGGAATTACTTAATGTAGGTTGTAAATTAATTAAAAACTATTAGTGATGTTGAAATACTTTTATTTATTGCTTAACGGATTTTTGATGTATGAAAATTGATAATATTATTTCAAAGGCTTAGTTTTAACTTCACTTTCTCAAACTACCTTATTTCAATAGTCATCAAACAACAATGAAAAACCTCAAATTAGTTTTATACCGGAGAGCGAAAATTTGAATACTGATGTACATGCATCTGGTCAGTGTTTCCCTTCTTCGTTTTTGGTCGTGGGCACAGAAGTTAGTGCCAAGTATCGAGGTGCATTTTGTGAAGCAACAGTAGATTACGTGGACCTCAGATTCCGCCTTCATGTACAACTAAAGTCTACTAAGGTAACGTGACTACACTTCTTTAACAAATAATTTAATCGTACTTCATTTGGTTGTGGCTAGCAGAGGAATCCAGGACGTGCGTTTCACCCTATTTGGGACTCGTCAGCTGGATTTGCCTGCACTCCAGTGAGTGCTGTTCACATCGAGACTCGAATCTTGTATCGGTTGATTCAAGCTTTAAAGCGTTATCCACTAGGCCACTGAGGCACGGTAGCCACCTTTTGGATAACGCTTTGGCGTTTAAAGCAATAGATACAAAGTTCGAGTCTCAGTGTGGACAACACTCACTGGGATGCAGGTACATCCAGCTGACGAGTCCCATATAGGACGAAACACGCATCTTGAATCCCTCTACTGGCTAGTACCAAGTAAATTACCATGATAAATATTTAGGCAATATCGAGGCGTCCACACAGAAACCCAACAGGTTGGGTTCCAACAGAGGTTGAACAATTCAATCCATTATAATAACGGAGAATAACAAGTGTAGCATAAATGGTAATAAATATTTTAATGGTCTATTTCCATATCTTTTTCTTCGGGTATTTATGTTCATTGTGATTGTATCCGCAGTGCTTAAGTACAAGTGGTAAAATTTCAGAGCCGTGGCTTGTTGGTTTTACGGGAGTCATTTTTAAACAGTCGGTCACGGCCCCACCTATCAAGGTTTGGGCGGCTAGGTAGTATCATTAGCCCTCTCACAATAGGTGTAGCCCATTGCCTACTGTGCGGATATGCACAAGGTTGATGAGTGCATCTCAAATTTCATTTCAAGACTAAGCGCCGGTGAAGAGATGTGCGAAAATTTGCAGCATCAAAAAATGATGTCTACAGGTTGATTGTGAATAATAATAATAATGATAATAATAATAATAGTGTCTACTCGTATTTAATTTGATTTTATCACTCTTGAGTTACTTTGTCTTGTAACCGATTGACTGGTTCACAAGTTAAATCGCCGGTCGATTGACATTTGAGGTCACTTGTTTTTAATATACCATAGTTGTTACTCACAATCTACCACTTAGTTTCTGATACATATTTTTTGCTTAATTCTATCTCCTTGATCTTTTAAGACACCGCAATCAACTACGGGATCTTTGTTTTTGCCTTTTGATTAACTGATTGTACTTCAAAGTAGCTTTGAATTAGGATCTCTGTTTCTAGAGATCATGATAATTATAACTTCAGGGGTTTATAAATGTATCGCTCATCGCTTTAGGGTTCTGACAACTAACTACATGTTCAAATGCTACTTCAAAAACTTCAACATGAGCAATTGGGCAGCATCGTAAGCCTTTTTGAATCAAACACGACACAAAGCCCAATACCTGTCGTATGCAATTCTGATAATTAGTGAGATGAGAGGAAAAAATATCAACACATCAATCTAAGCACCGTATGGTTTTTTACATCTGATTTTTAAAAATGAGTGTGATAATGAAATCTAAAATTTGACCAGGAAAACATATTTCTTACTAATTGGTTACTAAGGTAACAAGATGCAGTAAAACTGATTGAACAGACATTTTTGGAAAAATGTTTTTTGACGACCAACAAACACGAGTAGCTAGGAAAAAGTGGGACGATATAAATGGAGTTGCCTAACCTACTTTTATTATATTATTTGCCCCTTGGGTTCCTAGTGAAACATAGGGCTTCATTAGCAAGCCTCCACTGCATTCTGTTCTCTGCAAACTTTTGAACCTGGCTCCATGACAGCCCACAAGCTCTCATTTCTTCCTCACATGACATCCTCCATGTCACCCTCACCAGAAGCACTGACTTGATGTTGGTGTTGAAAATCCGGATCTTGTTCTTTATGCTGAGTGCAGAAGATCTCCACACTGGTTTTCAGGTCAATGAACTCCTGTCTTGCTTTTCTGATCCTGGCTTTGACATCCTCGTCTGTGCCGCCTATAATTATTGAAACAGTGCTGCCTAAATAGGTGAAAGAGGCTACTTCCTTTAAGTTTCTCCCGTTGATGGTGATCACAGCTTGTTGTTGTTGTTGGTTGGATATCTTCATCACCTCTGTCTTCTCTACGTTCACTTGAAGTCCCGTCTTCGCTGCCCTGCCTTACCTCTTCTGTCAATTTGTTAGTTTTTCCCTGTGGATCTTCAAGTTTGTGTGACATTAGGCACAAGTCATCGGCGAAATCCAAATCTTCTTCTGGGGTCTTTTCCTCGGTCCAGCGTGTCCCCCTCTTCTCGCTCCTCACTGTTTGTTGCATGATCCAGTCCACTACAATCAGGAATATCATGGGTGATAGTAGACAGCCTTGATTTACTCCTGTCCCCTGTCTTCACTTCAAGTGCAAAGGCATCACTGAGCTTCCCATTGTGAATTACTTGGTATGTGGCGTCTTCATATAGTTGTTGAATGAGGCAGATAAAGGTTTGTAGTATCCCGTAGTAATGAAGCAGTTTCCAAATTACCTCTTGGTCGACGCTGTCAAAGGCCTTCTCAAAGTCGATAAAGTTGAGGTAGACCTCCCCAGTTGACTGCCATTCTATACTCTGTTCATTGATGATGCTTAGTAAGGCGTTGCAATTTGGTCCGCACATGATTTGTACTTCCTGAAGACAGCCATCCATCCTGTTCCGGTCGTAGTTTTGAATCCAGTGCATCCTGTAGTCTCTCCAGGATGATTCGGCTTAATATTTTGCTTGCTTTGGGTGAACAGGGGGAGGAGTATGAGTATGATTCCGCGCCAGTTCTTGCAAACACTTAGGTCGCCCCTCTTCGGGAGTTTGACAAGGTAGTCCTTCTTCCAATCAATCGCCAAGTACCTTTCCTTCCTTCCTTGCTTCCTTGCAAACCTTCTGCAATAGTGGAGTGGTGTGAGCATGTTCGCTGTTGTCCTTGCATCTACTCTCAGTGCTTCTGGTGGGATTCCATCTGGTCCTGCTGCTTTCCTGCATTTCAATAGCCTTATGGTGTTCAGGACTTCACTTCTGCTTTTGTCGGAGAGCTTGTGTTCACTGGTAGTTCTGTGGTTGGTCGGCAGGTGGTATTTGTGGATGAAGTGCAGGTGGTGGTCGATTCGAGGGCTTCTTGAAGTGGTCGGCCCATCGTTTCCTTCGTTTCTCTTCTTTGGTAATCAGACTTCCCTCACCATCTTTTACTGGCTTCGTCTGCGTTGATCTCTTCCCTCCCTAATAGGAACCTGGTTATTTGATACAATGTTGTCAGGTCTCTATCTCTCCTACCTGCAACCTGTTCTGCTTCACTTGCCAGTGTGTCATCGAAGTGTCTTTTGTCTTTCCGTGCACTCTTCTTCACTTCTTTGTCCAGTGTAGTGTTTTATACGTTGTACTCAGTTCCTTTTCTCTTCGTTCATCCTTGCACTGGTTTATCTTCTGCTTCACCATCATCCTCTCCCTGCTTGCTCTATCAGCTTCCATGAGTCCGTTGACATCCATTCCTTATCTTCTTTCTTCCTCCTTCCTAATACGGCTGTGCGGGTTTCTTTCCACATCTCTTTCAAAGACTCTCAGTGTTCATCCACACAGGTTTCTTCAGAGATGTTGCTCGATATCTCCCACTTTGTCTTAATGGCTGCCATGAAGATTTCCTTTGTAGTTTCATCCTTCAGTTTCCGAGTGTTGTACTTGAACTGTGGTCTATCACCTCCTTCCTTGAAGGCTTTCAACTTGATTTGGAAGGTTCCTTGCACTAGATAGTGGTCTGAACCTACATCTGCTCCTCTTCTCGACCTTGTGTCGAGTAGACTGAGTCTCCATTTTCTTGAGATTGAGATAAAGTCGATTTGATTTTTAGTGTGTCCATCTGGTGAAATGCATGTCGCTGCTTTGTGGATATCCTTGTGATTGAACACGCTACCTCCAATCAACAAATCGTTGAATGCACAGGATTCTGCAAACAATTCTCCTCACCGAGCGCTTCTCGACCCATGGTTAGTTCTCTTCCTGTGTTGTCCGCTCCCAGTTTGGCATTCATGTCATCCGATAGAATGAATTTTGATGTCGCCAACTGGGGTGAGGCCTTGTTCAATACTGATTACAGTTGTCTGTAGAATTCCTCCTTCTTCTCTCGATCTGCATTATTAGTAGGTGCATAGCATTGTATGATTGTGACTTTCCTTCCTTTTGAGTTGAATCCATGTTGCTGTCATGGTCCTGGGGGAGATTGGTTCCCACTACATGAGAGCCTTCAATGCTCTTGGGGACATCATGATAGCCACTCCATAACTCAGTGTGCTCGTGGTTGTCGTCTGTGTGACAATATCGGAGTAGATTATTGATTCTCCAGTTGACAGTTTGGACAGTCCACTCCCATTCCATCTGCTTTCACGAATTCCAACCACTTCAATGTGATACCTCTTCATCTCCTTTGCAATCTGAGCTGCCTTGCTGGGTTCAAACATCGTGCGGACATTCCATGTTCCCATGTTTACTTTCGCTTTCATTGAGAGAAGAGGAGACACATCGGCCAATTTGCTTCCCGAAGGCAGGCTTTCACCAACTGGCGTCATTTCGCCTCTCCGATTCCAATGAGGAATAATTTTGTTTGTATTTTTTCAATCTTGTTTGTGTTTTGAAGTTTCTTTAGCGGTTAGATTTGTTTTCTGGGGTAGGGTTGCTAGCCCTATGCCAAACCTTCCCTCTTTACCCGGGCTTAGGACTGGCCAGTAACTAGTGAACTAGTTAACCAGGCGAGGTTGTTGGCTAACCTAACAATAACTTATTGTTTTAGAATGTTGTTTTTATGGTTGTGATCGGAATCGATATGTTGTTATACTACTACTCTTTATTTAACCAGGTTTATGCAAGTTTTGTTAGGTCATTGATTCTGTATTTATTGAATGTTGTCGAATCAAAATGCACTCGAAAACCATTGGTACGTCAGCTCAGTAGGCAATAAAACACACCTATTGCGTTAATTCTAATGGTACAAACCTAGCTGCCCAGATCTCGGTAAGTAAAGAGAGGCCTGAACCTGCTACCCACTGCTTGAAAACAAGTGCACAGACTAATGAACCAAAGTTCCATTGGTATTTGTTATCTTATGTTGTTATGTTGAATTGAATGTATCTATCTCTTTGATACATAGACTACTGCGTGAGTACCTCAGTATTGCCTAATGACTCATTGTTATGATTTTTTTGTTTGTGTCCAGGTATAATGGTATGTCGCAACACTGGTTCTATAACCTAAGTATTCGGATCTCAGCTTTATGAATAGTAACTCCATGTATAGGGCTACGACCCTTATTGTAATAGGATTTTATTGTAAGAGTGAGTATCCCAGTTAAAGTTGTAAGTATTTTATTACTCTTTAAGATTGGGTTTTCCTGGGCGTAGTTTCTGATATCATTCTAGGTATTATATCCAGTGATACTTCCTCGCGACGTTGCTCTGACAGCAAAAACCAGCAAAATTATACGGTTTCTCAGCAGATCAAATGAGACTGCTACTGGTCAGTTGCATGAATCTTCGCGCTGATTTTTATCTTCAGATTGTTTATTCTCTCACACTATCTACTTTAATATCACTTCTTTTCTATCCGCCTGTTCGTTTTGTACTGTTGTGAAGTGTGGCAACATGAGCCAATGCACTTGTGTCCAAGGTGTTACGTTGATTTTGTCAGTGTCAGTCAGTCACTTTACGTCTCTGAATGTGATCCAATCGGACGTACAAGTTTCCTTACGATTTCAAATATTGTTGCAGGTCAATGCGAAAAGTGAAAAATAGAAGTTCACATCTTCCTGCCGATAAACTTTCTGGTACATATATCCCGATTGAAATGTCGATATGGCTTAAAATCCTTTTCCGTCAAACTTCTAACCAGTGTGAATGATCTTATTGTTTAGTGACTATTTGAGCATCCTCAACCAGTCCAACTTCGGTGTACTAATCCTTTACCGATAGAATTCATGCCAAAAGTGTGTATAAGCAAGATAAATTTAGATGTTTCATAACTGTTCGTTGTGTAAATAATACTTGCTTTTTTAAGTGGATTTTCTGGTCGGCCTTTAGACTAGTTGGAAGTCGTTTTATTCCTAACAAAAAAAAATCACTACCGAAAAATATTTAGAGAAAGTATATTCATAGAGTTGACAACTCAGTTACCTTTTCGTACAAACCAGCTAAGTTTTTGTCAGTTTGTCAGTTAACGAAACGTGTTCATACCAACTATATGCAATGGCCATACACATTTTTGTTTGTGACAGAAAAGTGACTATTAAAGTCAGCAAGCAAAATAGAAAAAACGTAGTTAGCCGAAAGGGAATCTATTCATTTAAACCTTAGGAATTACAATTTTCAATTTCGACAATGAAGGTAACTGTGATTATTCTCTATTCTCTCATCGTTAGTAGATTTTTCGTTAGAAACTACTATTGAAGTTTTTTGCAAAAGTTAAGCATGTGTTACGTGTTTTTCTATCACTCAATATTTCTGCTCTTGTTAGGCTAAGCGTGTCTCTTTTTACATTACTATTGCAAAATTTCTGTCGTGACTCGGTAGTCTAGTGAATAATGCTGTGAAACTCAAAGTGATGGATACTGGATTGGAGTTTCAGTAGGAACATCATCGCTGACTGAGAGTTCCAATTTGAACGGAACACGTACCTTGGATTCTACTGCTTGCAATCAAGAAGAAAATACTCTACTAACATATATTTGTTCTGATATACTACGCCGGACTACACAAGAAAAATACATATTATACGATGAGTTATACTAACTGGGTCCCCAAGTTTTTCCAAACTTCCAGTCTATTGTTCGGCAGGATACATTTATACTCTACGAACACTTGAAATTTTTGTACATATTTTCCGTTTAGGTGGTTCATAAACTTGGTGGATTTCATCGTGTTTCGTCTCATCTTAAATGGGGTTATGTTTATTCGAAGATGGATATACCTCAGAACTTCAGTGCTAGTCCACGAAATCCTGCAGGCTGCCTTCAAGAAGTAAGTCTTTTACGCCTTATTTATCTGACTTAATTCAAATTGATATGAGCCAAAGACGCTATAGTTAAGTGTGATATTTATTCAGATAGTCAATTTTTAAAGAAATACACAAATGATCATAGTTAATTTGTTTGTCAGAACTTATGTTCTAATTGTAAACTGTTCTTGTTTGTTACATAGATATTTTATATCCATGGGACGATATAACTAAGAAATTGGGTATAAACCTGTGTGAACTTCCATCGTCTAGACCGAGATATTCTTCCTCTGCACAGACTTCAAATCTTATTGTTACTACGTCTACTACAGACAGTTCTTTCTTTGTTAGCACATCTGTCCCTGGTAATAACACTAAAATCTATTCAGTTTCTTCACATATCAAACAATTTTCCAATTCTGCTAATTTGGATACGGAACGCAAAAATAATATCGATGTAATTGAAACTGCGTTGAATTTAAACACAGAAAAAGACAAAAGTGTGCGAACTACTAGTGTTACTAATACCACTAGGACCATCACCACCCCTAGGAAGCAAGCTTCTGATACGAATTGTGTGTTTTTTCGGTGCTGTTGTGAATTGCAGCAAATTGAGTCCATGCACCCTTGTGAAAGGTTTGGTGTTGACTTATCTACCTGTTGGTTTAATACACAAGTGTCTTTTCATAGATATACATCCGAACGTCGTTTACGATCAGTGGTGTGTAAAAAATTGAGATATTGAATAAATTATATTTGTTTTGATATTTACATTGCTAATTCAGCGAATGAAAAACAAAACAAGGTGGTAAAAGTAGTCTTGTTTTATTGTTGGGCAACATCCAGCCTAAAACTGAATAGGATGCAGTTGTCAGTCCTCCAACTCTCTTTGAAGGTTGTATCGAACCTGAAACGATGCAAAGCAGCAGTACCTGACAGTCTCTCACCCGAAGTTTTCAAGAATGAAGGCAGAAAACTAATAATTAAAGTGATGGAAATACTAGGTAGTATGTGAAAATCAGAGGTAGTACCGTCAGACTGGTCTTCTTCGTCCCAGTCTACAAGAAGGAGGAGAAATCTTTCTGTGACAACCATAGGGGGGTTAGTTTGACCAATATTGTGTCCAAAATGCTCCGGCCCATAGTTATCCGACACCTGACTGGAGCTTTAGAACAGCAAACTCGCGAAAACTAAGTGGATTTCATACCTGAATGAGGGTGCATAGGTCACATTTTTACCCTACGACTGGTTCTGGAACACAGGTCTATTTACCGGTGGACGACACTTGTCATATCTGTAGACCTGAAGGTGACATTTGACTTATTCGATCGTAAGATGCCGTGACTGTGTCTGACTGTGAAAGGGGCACCCGGCAAGTGTATAACGTTAATCGAAGCTTTCTAATCAAACTCAGGTTAAATTGTACAAACACAAAAACAGTATTAACTATTCAACCCTTATTCTCCTGCTGCTGCAGACGGTGAAACATCACGCACACTGGAGGGCTTAGGTGGAGAGGCCTAACTGTCTAATCGATGCATGGTATCGAAGAGAATAAGAAGAGACTGTTACCGTTAGTAATCTTCAAGCTGTTGACAGTTTGTTGGTGATGACTCTATCGAAGACGACTTCTTGAAACTCATCTGGGAAAAGGTAAGTCAATAATAGAGGTGGTTTGAACCTGTAAGCGTCACATTAGAGATTAGAAAACTTCTGCTTGTAATCTATCACACACGACCTTTCGGAGACATTTACTTTCGATTAAAGGTCTAACTTTCAGATGTCAGTCATGCGCGCTACATCATACAGTTGTCGCTCATTAGTTTAATTTGTCGACTTTCCATAAAACTGATTTGTTATTCTGTTCTACCAGCCTTACTGTCATCATTTCAGGTTTGTTTTTCACTTATTAAACGTGAATAACTATCTAGAAGATAGATATGTTGCTGTGGCATTTTAGTGTATACTTTTTTGATTGTGTAAGACAACGATTTCACTTCACTATCATTATTATTATCATTATTACTACTATTATTTTAAACCATCTTTTATAATCCCTTGCTCTTGGGCAATTTAAAAACTTGTATCTGAACAGGTGAGGAGGCGTCATCTTTATCATCTGAAACGGATTATTCACAGGTTAATACATCCAATGTTAAAACAGTAAACCAAGTTAAGGAAGAAAACATCCAAGAGGTTGAAGATGATACTACATTTTGCAGTGAACATGTAAACCACACTGAAGTCGACAGAATTCATCTGTACGTGAAACAGGAAGTCAGTGGAAGTATCACAATTCGAAGTGTTCCAGACTTATCACCTGGGATCCACGATGATAAACAAACGAACGCTGTGATGATGAATAAATGCCCAGGTGATGGCGTGATTTTTCAGCCCATAAACACATGTGATAAACAAGAGAAAAAAGTTGGAAAGACAGTGGAGGATAACGATACTGAAGATGATCGATGTTCTGTCCAAACTATGAGCACAGATCCTAGGAATGGATTGTTATATGATTTAACTATGTCTTCAGAAAAATCTCATTTGCAGTTATCTAGTAAGGAAAATGATGATTTGGAATATATAGATAATCCTCTGGATCTACCTATCCATCATACTGATATGGTTGAAGAAATCAGAGCTTTATCTGGTACTGATGATCACCCGGTTAGTGAAATTGCATACGACAGAGTAGTGGATGAAACTATTGTAAATGAAACATATGTGGAGCCAGTGAGTGAGCAACAAGAAGAGGAGATAAAAATCTCTGAAGTAGAACAAACAAATCTAGTAAAATCTCGTAAACGGATTAGGCTATCTAGCAATACCAGCAATTCAACTGATACTTCAAGTAAACGAGGAAACAAACGGGCGTATTTAACTCCTCATCGCAGTACAGCTGTATGTTACAGTTTTTACTCTGGTTACTCATGCGAAAATTATTTTTTTCTATCAATTATATTTGATCTCCTGAGCATTTCACACCTGTACAGTGTGAGATGATGCTCCAGGACTGGTCTGCTGCAAGTTATCCCAGTTTAATGATCAGGAATGAAGTGGCGGAGTATGTTCACTTCACTTACTTCAACCGGAACAGATTAGTTGTTGACGAAATCCTAGCTCGGATACAGAAGCCTCATTTGGCACTTGCCAACCGGTGTCATCTGTGGCACCAAGTGGTGAAATATCCGAATTTCTATCAAAGGATGAGTAAAATGCGCTTCAGTTCGTACCGTTCTGTTGTACGGTTGTCAGATAATGGCAGTTGAAAGTAGAAGATATGAAGCGATTACAGGGTTTTGACCACATATCTTCGTAGCATTGGTCGCTTTCGATGTAATCACTATGTGAGAAGAAATGTTGGGGTCAGACGAATAGTACTAGACAAGATAGGCAATTCGATTGGTGAGATAGTGAGCTTTAGTTGACTTTAGTGGCATTGGACACGTATGGCGCATCCCAAACCACCACCTACCTCGATGTCCCATGTTAGGAGAAGTTGGATCAGGTTGCGAGAAGGTTCAGAGTGGCTGGACCAAGATGTATCATCAGTCCGTGAAGTTTCTTACTGTAATTACAAGTGGTGGATCTTAACATGACTGGGATTAAATAGGAACGGTGACAGTGGGCATCCCTGGCGAACATCACTAGTTGTCGTTAGTTCACGTGACAACTCTCCAAATCTATAATAATCAGCTGCTATAATAGGGTTAACTAGTTCACTAGTTACTAGCCGGTTCTAAGCCCGGGTAAAGAGGGAAGGTTTGGCATAGGGCTAGCAACCCTACCCCAGAAAACAAATCTAACCGCTAAAGAAACTTCAAAACACAAACAAGATTGAAAAAATACAAACAAAATTATTCCTCATTGGAATCGGAGAGGCGAAATGACGCCAGTTGGTGAAAGCCTGCCTTCGGGAAGCAAATTGGCCGATGTGTCTCCTCTTCTCTCAATGAAAGCGAAAGTAAACATGGGAACATGGAATGTCCGCACGATGTTTGAACCCAGCAAGGCAGCTCAGATTGCAAAGGAGATGAAGAGGTATCACATTGAAGTGGTTGGAATTCGTGAAAGCAGATGGAATGGGAGTGGACTGTCCAAACTGTCAACTGGAGAATCAATAATCTACTCCGATATTGTCACACAGACGACAACCACGAGCACACTGAGTTATGGAGTGGCTATCATGATGTCCCCAAGAGCATTGAAGGCTCTCATGTAGTGGGAACCAATCTCCCCCAGGACCATGACAGCAACATGGATTCAACTCAAAAGGAAGGAAAGTCACAATCATACAATGCTATGCACCTACTAATAATGCAGATCGAGAGAAGAAGGAGGAATTCTACAGACAACTGTAATCAGTATTGAACAAGGCCTCACCCCAGTTGGCGACATCAAAATTCATTCTATCGGATGACATGAATGCCAAACTGGGAGCGGACAACACAGGAAGAGAACTAACCATGGGTCGAGAAGCGCTCGGTGAGGAGAATTGTTTGCAGAATCCTGTGCATTCAACGATTTGTTGATTGGAGGTAGCGTGTTCAATCACAAGGATATCCACAAAGCAGCGACATGCATTTCACCAGATGGACACACTAAAAATCAAATCGACTTTATCTCAATCTCAAGAAAATGGAGACTCAGTCTACTCGACACAAGGTCGAGAAGAGGAGCAGATGTAGGTTCAGACCACTATCTAGTGCAAGGAACCTTCCAAATCAAGTTGAAAGCCTTCAAGGAAGGAGGTGATAGACCACAGTTCAAGTACAACACTCGGAAACTGAAGGATGAAACTACAAAGGAAATCTTCATGGCAGCCATTAAGACAAAGTGGGAGATATCGAGCAACATCTCTGAAGAAACCTGTGTGGATGAACACTGAGAGTCTTTGAAAGAGATGTGGAAAGAAACCCGCACAGCCGTATTAGGAAGGAGGAAGAAAGAAGATAAGGAATGGATGTCAACGGACTCATGGAAGCTGATAGAGCAAGCAGGGAGAGGATGATGGTGAAGCAGAAGATAAACCAGTGCAAGGATGAACGAAGAGAAAAGGAACTGAGTACAACGTATAAAACACTACACTGGACAAAGAAGTGAAGAAGAGTGCACGGAAAGACAAAAGACACTTCGATGACACACTGGCAAGTGAAGCAGAACAGGTTGCAGGTAGGAGAGATAGAGACCTGACAACATTGTATCAAATAACCAGGTTCCTATTAGGGAGGGAAGAGATCAACGCAGACGAAGCCAGTAAAAGATGGTGAGGGAAGTCTGATTACCAAAGAAGAGAAACGAAGGAAACGATGGGCCGACCACTTCAAGAAGCCCTCGAATCGACCACCACCTGCACTTCATCCACAAATACCACCTGCCGACCAACCACAGAACTACCAGTGAACACAAGCTCTCCGACAAAAGCAGAAGTGAAGTCCTGAACACCATAAGGCTATTGAAATGCAGGAAAGCAGCAGGACCAGATGGAATCCCACCAGAAGCACTGAGAGTAGATGCAAGGACAACAGCGAACATGCTCACACCACTCCACTATTGCAGAAGGTTTGCAAGGAAGCAAGGAAGGAAGGAAAGGTACTTGGCGATTGATTGGAAGAAGGACTACCTTGTCAAACTCCCGAAGAGGGGCGACCTAAGTGTTTGCAAGAACTGGCGCGGAATCATACTCATACTCCTCCCCCTGTTCACCCAAAGCAAGCAAAATATTAAGCCGAATCATCCTGGAGAGACTACAGGATGCACTGGATTCAAAACTACGACCGGAACAGGATGGATGGCTGTCTTCAGGAAGTACAAATCATGTGCGGACCAAATTGCAACGCCTTACTAAGCATCATCAATGAACAGAGTATAGAATGGCAGTCAACTGGGGAGGTCTACCTCAACTTTATCGACTTTGAGAAGGCCTTTGACAGCGTCGACCAAGAGGTAATTTGGAAACTGCTTCATTACTACTGGTTACCGCAAACCTTTATCAACCTCATTCAACAACTATATGAAGATGCCACATACCGAGTAATTCACAATGGGAAGCTCAGTGATGCTTTTGAAGTGAAGACATGAGTGAAACAAGGTTGCCTACTATCCCCATGATATTCCTGATTGTGGTCGACTGGACTAGATCATGCAGCAAACAGTGGGAGTTGTGAGAAGAGGGGGATACGCTGGACTGCGGAAAAGAACCTAGAAGATCTGGATTTCGCCGATGACTTGTGCCTGATGTCACATAAACTTGAAGATCTACAGGTGAAAACTAACAAGTTGACAGAAGAGGCAGCGAAGACAGGACTTCAGGTGAATATAGAGAAGACAGAGGTGATGAAGATACCGCACCACCACCACCACCACCAACAACAACAACAAACTCCAGTCACCATCAACGGGAGAAACCTAAAGGAAGTAACCTGCTTCACATATCTAGGAAGCACTGTTTCAACTACAGGTGGTGCAGACGAGGATGTCAAAGTCAGCCAGGATCGGAAAAGCAAGACAGACGTTCATTAGCCTGAAACCAGTGTGGAGATCTTCTGCACTCAGCATGTGGAACAAGATGCGGATTTTCAACACCAACGTCGTCAAGTCAGTGCTTCTATGTGATGGTTGAGAGACTTGGCGCGTTACGAAAGGGATTTCCAGTAAACTACAGACATTCATCAACAACTGCTTACTCTCGCTACTGAAGATCAGATGGTCAGAATAATAAGAATAAGCAACAAGGAACTCTGGGAACGAACCAACCAAGAACCTATCACGCAACAAATATGCAGGAGGAAGTGGAGATGGATTGGGCATACACTGAGAAGGCCGAATGGGGACATCACGCGTCAGGCCAGTTGCTCGAGTGGAACCGAGATGGGAAGTGACGAGTTGGGCGTCCCAGCTGAGGGTGACATGGAGGAGGTCGTGCGAGGAGGAAATGAGAGCTTATGGGCTGTCGTGAAACCAGGTTCAAAAGATCTCAGAGAACAGGATGAAATGTAGACGTGCTACTGAAGCCCTATGTTCCATTAGGAACCCAAGGGGACTAATAATAATAATAATAATAATAATAATAATAATAATAATAATAATAATAATAATAATAATAATAATAATAATAGGGTAAATAGCCTTTGGTATGCTAGAGGTCACATCCATTATTTTCTGATCATCCAAATTCGAATCACCAAAGTACAATATATCAGTGTCGTGTCATAATTTGGTGACCACATCTCAAACTCCAAGAAAATAATATTATGTCTCTTTGTGTTAGATAAGTTGAACAAATCCAATAGCAAATTCAATAATATATTTTAATTATCTGGTGCCTTTAATTTGACAGCTACATCGATTGTCATCCTGTGACCTAATCATTTATCAGACAGCTTAACCTGTTCACATTTAAGCATGTTTTCGCACTACCGTCCTACCAGCATCTTGTTGGGGTAAAATGTGCCTCTGTATATATCATACAGAATTAGCTAATTCAAATTAGGCTTGAAAAGATCATGACAAGCAGACAGAAAAATCAGCTTAGAACTTGACACAGAAGTACTTTAGTTCAAGATACCTTGCTTCACTGTAAAGTGCAAACTGGAAGTGCGTTGAAAAATTGTATGAAAAAGAGAAAATAAGTAAATGAAGATTAGAGGAAATATTCAAAATCTTTAAGATGGTAATTGAGACTACAGTATACATGATCGATCTGAGGAAGATAAACTAATCATATAGATGAAAAGGTAGTTAGGTCATACTAGGCAATAAGTTACCGCAAACACGAGTCATGCTTAACGTTGGTACAAACAGGAGAAAATAAGAAGCAGATGTTTAATGCTAACTTATTGAAGGCCAAGAAATTTTCGTGCAGATATAGCTATATTTTTGTAAATGTATTGAATTTTATATGTCACTGGATGTGCTCACTACTGTAAATTAGTTCTATCACTAACGGCTCGCCAATAGTCATCTATAAGTTTGTGATTTATTTTGGTTAGTAATGCGAAATGATTACATACCAGACATTTAGAAGGGTTAATATTTTCATGCACCTTAAAAGATTATATGTTTCACTTGTAATTTTAGGCTTCTTAGAATTCACCAGTTCGCAGTTTCGATTCCCCTCACTACCTTCCTGTATCTCCACATTCATACCAGCAACAAGTGTGTCATTCCAATGCCTAGTTCTTCCAAGTCAATTGATCGTTCAGCATCCAGTAACAGGCGATTTGGTGGACCATTTTCCCATTTGCAGGGTTCGATGATCTCTCTTCTGATGCTAAATGCCAGGTTAGTTGCTTTTATACTGTTTATTTTCCTTCAGTAGTTTTCTTCACGTATTTTTGATCTGTAAACATGATAATTTTCCGCTTACTGAAAACAAAACCTTTTTTCTCTTTCCGTCTTTCAAGTTTTCTACTTGGATTCGTATAAACCTAAAAGTTGTGTTTCAGTTACACATTGCTCATATATGCGTGGATTTTCACTTCTGATAGATTTTAGGAAACTGAATTTACATTACGTTGAATCCTAACTCCCCACTTGCTTATTTCTTCAAAGAGAATGATTTCCATAAATTTACTTTTATCGCCCTGTAAATCTTAATTTTGAAATCAAACCTGCTCATAAAAACAGCTCCGAATCCGTTATCAGGCTTAAGCATAATGTAGAACCGTTTTAGTTTGTTTAACCGTTGACCAGTTAATGAGCTATATTCCCTAGTGTAAACTTTATGCAATTGTGATTTTCTGAAATGTTGGAACAGTTGAACGATTCTGGCTTCTTGGTGGTCATTATAGTATCCCATCTCAATAATAAAGAAAGTTCTGACAGGAAACACACCGAATAAATGAAATGACGTGAATTCTCTAGGCAAAGACAGACTCACTAATCATTTAGGCTTGGATTAAACGTTTGTTATTGAATGTTCTATTGTTTATTGGAAAATTACGCTTAGTCTTGTTAGAATATGACGACGTATATTGAACAGACTTCATGCAAACAGCCTCTTCATTCAACATTCAAGACGAATTGGTCTGCAACTCCTGTTAGTTTTCCATTGGTATTTCCATTTCCTCCTTCCGAACCTCTACTAATTGGATAATAACTCCACTTGTCTTTCCTAGGAACACTATACTACTAAATGCTTACGCCTGTCTGTACAAGTAGCACACTCGTCAAAAGTTGGTATAGCTTTATTTGATATACACTTTATTTTGTATACTAGTTTCAGGAGAGTAAGCTGGGATACCAATTGTATTCAACTATCTTTGTCATTTTGTTTGTCTGTCTTGACCTGGTTATTGGATTTTCGCCCCGTTGATTGGTATCCCTTGAGGTTATCTAGTCTACTCTAAACACCTAGCGACGTTGTAGATATTTTTGTGGTGTTTTTCACTGAAATGCACGTTGGCGCTTTAAGATAGATTTGCATTGATACCTTATTTGACAGTGGAAAACGATATGGTTGTGCATACTAGCCACTTCATTTAATTGGGAATGCAGAACAACCATGGTAGGTCAGCGGCTGATGAATCTTGGATAACATGTCGACTACCTACTAAGGGTCGAGTGTACTGTGCAACAGTTTGCTCTGTTCTACTTTATAACCGTGAGAAATAATCACCAAAGTTGAATGATGTATGAAGTCTCCAGGTGTTCTACTTATTAGCACTGCCCATGTGAGCAACGTTGAAGCAGGATGTAGAGTTTTAGCTAAAAGAGGTGTTGGCTGATGAGCTTGTACTCTTTCATCGACCCAACTAGCCAAGACATGTTTTATCAATGCCGAGTCACCATCTATCTCTACACGGTGTTAGACAAAGTAAGCTAGGGGTTTAAAAAATGGTTAAAAGTGGCCAGACTAAAAATTGGCTACTATGAGTTGTCTAGATCTCAAGGTATCCGACTATCATATTTCATTTCAGATGAAATGATAAGAATTCACGTCTAAGTTAAATTTTATTCTTACTGGAATAACTTCAAAGATCAACCTAACAATCGACTAGTGTGTCTTTAATCTTACGAACAGAATACTCTTTCAATAAAAGTACAGAAAACCATTTGGTTATGTGAGTGGTATAGCCTTTTCTTTCACTTTTAATTCAGCTTTTAGTATAATAATAGTCAGTAGATCATAGCTCGACTTCTGTTTGAAATTCTAGTGTAGGCGGTTGTATGACCCAACAATAAAACTGATTAAATGTTACTTTTGAGTCCTACAAGATATGTTATTTAAAAAAAATATTTCAAAGATTTTCCATAACGAGTTATAAAAATAGATGCAAGTGAACAATTTTTATGTATTATCTGGTGTATTTTTGTAACGAAATAATTCCTCTTTCAGGTTTTACAAGAGCGTATGCTCCGAATATTGAAAGCATGGCGTTTAACTAAGCAGTACTTGGAAAATTTGGACCAATGCAGCAATCGTACACGTCGGTTAAAAGCTCGACAAGGCTTGTAAACGTCAACTTCTTTGGGTTCACAAGATAACCGACAACTTATTGACGAAACTCATACTAATAATGATTTTGCCTGTGCTTAAGATGGTTTATGTGTAATATTTATGAAGATTCACTTCCTCACCTTTAATTGTCTAAATTATTATCATGTGATTATAACTTTTTTTATTACCCTTCTCATTCATAATCCCATTCACTTATTTGTTTTATTTCCTATTATAGGGTTTCATATATATCTGTTAACACATCCTCATTCGTTTATACCACCTCAGACCAAGATTTTTTCTAACGCATTATTGTACATAAAAGCATGTAATTAATATACCGTAAAAAGATTATTATTTAATATACTTTCTAGTATCATTCTTTTACACGAATTAATAATTAGATATGAAGAGGTTGCAGGGTTTTGATAACATATCTTCTTAGCATTGCTCGTCTTTGGTGAAATTTGATGAAATCACCGTGTGAGGAGCAATGTTGAGGTCGTGTGAAAGATACCAGGCAAGAAAAGCAAATCGATTGATGAGGTTGCGGACCTTAGTCGACTGAGATGGCTTGGACGTACACTACTCATGTTGAGCCACCGCCTATGTCGACGTGTTATGCTTGGGGAAGTTGGGTTAGGTTGGAAGACGGTTCAGGGTGACCAGACCAAAACGTGGCACCAGTCGATGAAGTCTCTTACTGTTGATTTGAGCCGTGTGAGGAGATATAGACTATCTGGTTGGGGTGCATTGGGACAAAAGGAATCAATGGTTGGGAATTCTTGGTGACATGTTTGAAAATCGGTCAGGATGGTGCATATATGTATTCATTCCTTGACATTTAAAGCTTGATTATTTGCACTAACCTTTATCTTCATACTATTTGCTCTCTCGTACTACTTTGTCTTCTTTGATATCACTCTTTTTCTATTTACTTGTTCTTTGTGTACTACTGTGAAGTATGGCGACTTGAGCCAATGGGCTCGTTTGTGAAGTTGTACATTGATTTTGTCAGTCAGTCAATCAATGACTCATAAATGATATAACTTCCATATCCTAGTTGTTTAGCACTGATTGAAGTCTATCGGTAAAGTTAAGAATGTGATCACTAAAATAAGCGATATGACAATTCACTGAATTTTTCGATTTCAGACTTACAATTCAGCTCGTAACAAGTACTAGATCTCAGTCCTATGCCCTTCAACACCTATCAACCTGACATATCTCTATGTAAACGACGTGGTGACCTGGATAACGTTTAACTCCTGCTAACTGACTCCTAACATATTTCTTTTTATGGTTGCATGCTTTGCTGGTTGCGGGTTTGTTCAAAATTACTAAGCTGCATGTTTAACTCGATAGTATTACGTGCATGCTATTGAGGATAACAGTACCATTTTGTCAAAATGGCTGTCGTTTCCATTAGGTGTATTGTGTTTACGCTGTAGTTCAACAAATGTTCCACTAATAAATGACGACCACCATCAAGTCACAACAGCTGTTTTGTTATTGGTTTTGTAACTGGAGCTAATTGTGAGATCGAACTTAGATTTATAAATTCAATGCTCATAAAAAACTGGTCGTTTCATGTAGTTATACTAGAGTTGTGATAATATGACATTTGACAGAGATCAGTTTTCATCTGAAAAATTGCTTAAGAAGGTTGACCGATTCATTTGGATTGTCGTATTCCCTGTCAGGTCTGAAAGTTCTTAGTTTGATTAATTTGAAAATGATCTGATAATTGCACGGTTCATGCTGACATCTCTCACAACGCAGTAGTTTCCCAACCGTCTTGTTACCAGGGTTTCCGTTTGAAACCAACCAGTCAAGATAAAAAAGTGTGATTTCTTTCACAAAAGTGTCATGAACTGATGAAAAATACTACTGAACAAATTGTGTAATCAGAAACCACTCAGGCTGGTCCGTGGATTTTCCCCACTAAATCGGACTGATCTAAACACCGTTTCCAACGCAAGTCATGTTGACACCACAGTTGGAGAACTATTAAGCTATGAGAAATGTCAATGTTTTTTGTGCAATTTGTCAGTCCCTTGAAAACTGATCATCCTATTTAAGATCTATCCAAGTAAGATTCAGATGGTCTAAGCAGTTCGCCTTTCTGTGCTGAATTTTTCCAGATACACCGCCGATTAACTCGGTCCCAAACGTACAGAACGGGCGTTCGGCGGTTAAATCAGTCTGATCTCTTTCGAGAGATCTGCAGATCAGCCTGAGTGGTTTATCAATGCTCAAGTTGTTCAGTATTATACTTAGTTTTTAGTTTGGCTTTGTTTCACCTGTAGGTGAGAACTAGCAGTAAGCCCTTGATTTTCACTGGCCCTTCAACTGACCTCCCAATTTGTGGGGAAAACTATCTAAATTAATTAATTCCTTAGAAACTTTGTTTCTTACCGATTATTTCATGTGACTTTAAAGGCGATGAAACTCATGAAAACTGTCTCGTAGGGGGTAATTTTGCTTTAAAGGATTTCTTTGGACAAAGTTCGTTTGATGAATCCAACAGTCTTACCATTTTGTTTCACTGAAATCTTTACAAATATTTCGCTCACACCTGAGATTTATACTGAAAATCTGAAGATGCCTTTTTATGGTCTAGGCTCCGTAGTTAGCGTTTTCGTAT